GATCAAAGAGGGGGGTACGAAGAGAGCAGATGTTCCCTATCGAAATCGTTGAGGCTTATCGGAGGAACGATAAATTCGGTGGACGCGCGACCCACGCTGTCGCCAGGTGGACGAGACGTTATCTTCTCTCGGTAACCTCGACTCGCCAATTTCGAAGCATTCGATCTCGCACTCGATACGAACGATACGCGATAAATTTCCCCGTAGAAAATGAAAACTGGTTCGGATCAGCCTTACCGCCGCGCGGACTTTCCTCGCGGCGTATCGCGGATTATCGGCCGGATACGAATTCGCGGACGGATAATCTCCTGGACGTGTCGGGGACGGGGGCGGAGAACCGATCGCATCCGAGCATGCCCGATTCCGCGAAAGGTAAAGAAACGAGAGAAACGAGGAGGAATGCCATGTGCTCCTCGATCCCCTTCCAAGCTAGCTTTTCGTGCTCTTTAAACGAACAGCCAGCGCGGAAAAATAACGCGAATAGCTAGCGCGCGAGTAGGCAACGAGACGCTACGAAAGCGAACGAGATCTAGATCTCCTCGGAGAAGGGTGCAGGATCCAGAGGAGAGACAGAAATACGGAAAGAGGTTACGCGTATTAGAATCTCGGTTGAGACCTGTGCGCCAGATGGTACCAGTTGGGTGACGCACCCCGAACCTAAAAACATATCGTCTCCTCGGCTACACGAGGCGGAACGATGCGAGACGGCGCGTGGCGAAGTCCGGACGGGACGGGACAAAAACGTTTCACCCGCGGAATCCTATCCGAGATAGGACGATCTCGTACGCACCTATCGTTCGTCGCTCGACGTACCCGACACCCCTTCGTGTTCCCCCTTCGACCGATGCGGTTCGAAGAACCGAGCTTTCACGAAATTTCCACGGAATTTTAAGGCAAGTACGATCGAGGAAAGTAAGCGTACCAAGCAGAACCGAAAGGTACTCGATCGAAGGATAAAGAAACGTCGCGTTATTTCAACATGTCACGTGACGCGAGTTGCTGTTTGTTTGATTTCAGCCGGAGTAATGGCTGGTTCGGAGCGAGATGCTGATTTTTCGAGCGGAGCGGACGAGGACGATATGTCGAGTCTACATTCGCCGAGCGCCTCGGAGGATAGCGTCGAAGTTCAGGTGACACCGATATCCCTGAAGAACAAAAGGAAACTCGCCGAACCCCGGAAGATTCAAGAATCGGCGAGCACGGCACCGCTCAAGAAGAGACGAATCGAACGCGTGAAGGAAACTCTGATGGTTCCGGTGAACGAAGAATTTCGCACGACCAACTGTTCGCCGAGCCCGTTCAGACCTTGGAGCAGTTCGAACAAAAGCCAAGATCCGACTTTGCCGCGGAGCGTAACGGAAAAGATCGTGGTCGCTCCATCTTCGACGGCATCCTCCGTGCCATCCTCCGTGCCATCCTCCGTGCCATCCTCCGTGCCATCCTCCGTGCCGTCTTTCGTACCATCCTCCATGCCATCGCCCGCTGTACCGACACCGCTGTCCACTGTGCCATTATCCACGATAATATCGACCGACACCAGACAACTCGAACAGAAAGATATCCAAACTCGAAGGGAGTCGCAGCGAACGGAGAATCCGTCGACTAGACATCGCCATTCGGCGCAATCTCGCCTGACTCGACTCGATAGACGCGATTCTCCCAGTCTAAAATCCGAACCCGTTGTAATCTCCTCGTGCAACGTTGCGTCGAACGGCACAAACGTGGACATGGACGCGAATGCAGTCGCGATCGGGCAGGTTGCAACGCCGACATTGTTCGCGTCCACGCATCCCAGATTACAAGAAGAACCCTTGTCGCTCGTCCTGCGAGGAGAAATAGCTAGTAGAGTTCCTTCTCATCCGGCTGTAAACGGAAGCTACGAAAAACCGTACCCGGTAGACAGGGTCAAAGTTTCGTTCCCTTGTTCGTCCGCGTCTTGTTCGTCTTCCTCCTCTTCCTCCTCCTCGTCTTCCTTCTCCTCGTCCTCGTTATCATCGTCGTCCTCGTCGTCCTCGTCGTCGTCATCGTCGTCGTCGTCGTCGTCGTCGTCGTCTTCGTCTTTCTCTTGCTCAACCTCGACCTCGACCTCGGTCTCGACATCGATATCGACGTCGACTGCAACGACTACGTCGATATCGACACCGACGCCTGCATCGGTATTGTCTTCGTCGTCCTCGTCGTCGTCTTCGTCGCTCTCGTCATCGGCTGTGTTACTGAATCGTCGAGAAGACGAGCGATCCGACAGAAACGAACGCGATTCTTCTCCGACGGCGGCAACGAACGCGCAGACCGGTCCCTCTAAGCAACATCCAGTCGCCGGTCAACAGAGGAATTACAAGAACATGACGCGCGAAAGAAGGATAGAGGCGAACGCCAGAGAAAGGACCAGGGTGCACACGATAAGCGCCGCGTTCGACACTCTGAGGCGCGCCATACCGGCCTATTCTCACAATCAAAAATTGTCGAAACTATCCGTGCTGCGGATCGCGTGCAGTTACATAATGACTCTCGGCAAGATAGTCGGTACTCCGGAGGGAGAGTCGACGAACAGTGCGTCCTTGGGAGCTTGCGTGGACCTCGTATCGAGGACTATCCAGACCGAGGGCAAACTCAGGAAAAGGAAGGAAGACTGAAGAAGCTAGCCTACCGAAACGGGAAGTGTGCGGACCTCTTGAATTCGTAATGTACAAATTGACGCGTACCACCCTTACACCGCTGTCGCAGTAACATCCTCGAAACTCCGGGACTGCCGATCGTCGTTGAACAGCGATCCTTTTTCCTCCGGTTGTATCGCCTCGCCACACACCGCTTCGCCTTACCTCGCTTCGCCTCGCCTCGCCTCGCCTAGCCTCGCTTAGCCTCGCCTCGCCTAGCCTAACCTAACCTCGCCTCGCCTCGCCTAGCCTTGCCTCGCTCCTCGTCACACGGTATAACCTGCTCAGTCCCAACCCAACGCGCCTCGACGAATCCAACGATCGTACAATCCCGTTCGATCTATCGAATAGTATAGGTATAAATAAGTTCGACCAAAGCGGACCGTAACGATAATCAAACGAACAGGGAAGGCGTCATCGATCTTCCTTCGCGTCATTGACTCGCATTCGAATAGTTCGCAACGAGAAAACGGAAAGGTAGATCGGACTCGGGAGGAGAGGCAGTTAATTCGGCGAGTCACGGTTCACGATCAACCGCCGCATCGAGTTCTCGCGACGCTATCGAATACGATGTCGCGCAAATTTACCTTTCTATGTACGTTGTAAGACGACTTTGGGCGCTTACGTGCTCGCATCCGTAAAACTTGAGATAAATAAATCAGGAAACGACTGAGAAACGCTGCATGTGCTTTTATTGGTGCCCACCGACAAACCTCTTTCGCGTTCGCGTTAAAAACCCGATGGCTGTTTCGTCGAATACTCGCAATGGAATATACGTACAGTCGACCTTGACCCATCTATCGCATCCGATTACCAGTAAATGTTTTCGCTATCGATACCACGACCTACTAGGCGAAGATAAGGACGAGCAGACGCGACGCGCTGCGAGAAACGCGAGTCTGACGAGAAAGGACGATTCTACTTCCTTTCTTCCCGAATCCTCTAGCACCGAATGGCTCGTTCCGAGAGTATTCCCGCGGCAGGTGGCGACGAGACTTGCTCGTGGAGTGTTACCTGCTCGAAAACCGGCCTACTGCATTTTGGTCGCGTCTCGCGTACTGCTCGGTCGACGAAACGCTATCCCAAACACGGCCCGTGTGTAACACCGGTGTCGTTGACGCGAAATCGGACGTACAGGGCTAGGCAAAATATTTGCCCGTTTATTCTTGCATTTATTCTATTGCATTTATTCCGTATGCCGTCCGATCCGAAAACTCAACGTCCCCTCTCTATTTCCTAGCCATCTGGACCGATTGGTATTCTACTTTGGCCGATTCACGATGGTTCCGGTCGGAGATCGCAGAGGCGAGACCGTTGATGTATCCGTGGTAAATTTCTCGTACGAGATACGCGACGGGACGCTCTGTCGCGCGTGTTCCCGAAACGACGGAACGACGGAACGACGGAACGACGGGACGACGAACCGAGATAAAGGAGGCTTCCGAATGAAGAGGCACGCGCAACGAATGAGCGCGCACATGCATATAGGAAGACCACTCTCGGTCCGTTGCATCGAGTAGATCCGACGCGAGGAGAAATTGCACGCGCGCACCTGCTACGTAGCGCAGGTGCATTTACCGGTTTCATAAGCATCGCCAAATTTTCGAGGGTTATTCGTCGCGAATAATAATCAGTCGAACGCTACGCGCATCAGGTACGCGGCAAACTCGCGAGATCGTTCCGACTCTGTCTCCTTCGGGTTTTCCACGGTACAGCGAGGGCATTCGAATGGCCGATTAGAATGCGCGCGGCAAATATAATTGATCGAATAATCGGGAAATTGGTGTGGAGCGGTGCAACCGTGAAGCGGCAGTTAACGAGAGACAGACTCGTATACGTCCATGTACAACGTCTGGTGGGAGGTTGCCAGAACGTTGGCGCCAGTTGACCGTCGCCGGCCGCCCGCCGGCCGTCCCGCCGGCCGTCGGTCGCCAGCCGCCAACCGCCAGCCGCTAACCGCCAACCTCTGCTACGTCGGACGACCTACGCGAATGCATACGCACCGCCTCGAGTTTACTGGTACTCGCGTACCACTACCTACGTAGATATATTCGTGGTATCTTCCCGACGACTCGTTTCGATTTTACTTCCCCTTCCGTTTCCCTTTCTTTCCTCCTCTCTTCTCTTCTTTCCTCATCTTTACCTTTGCTTCTACTCGGCAAATCTCACTCTACCCGCTCTCCGATAGCAATGACGTTCATATACGTCCGACAACGAACAAAGACGGAAATTCCAAAGAGCGAGCGCACGATGGTATCGTTCCGTATAATTGACAGACTCGCGACAAAAATTCGACACAGAGAAAGAGAGAGAGAGAGAGATAGAGAGAGAGAGAGGAGCGAGCAAACTAGCGCCGAGGGTAAGAGGGTAAGAGGGTAAGAGCGGAAAACAGGAAAGCGCAAAGAGGAGATAGAGGAATGACTGAGAAAAACGATACCGTTCTACCGTGCGAATCGTCGGCAACTACCTCGCCATCTACCTCCCTGTTTTTCCCCCCTAGATGTAGGCATGCAGCGGGTACGACAGTTACAGTGTGTACGCGTTTTCTCCGTCCGAGTATGTGTTCGTGTAGTCGGTGCGAGAGCGATTCTGTATATAGGATGCGACAGTGTGGCGCCAACCTCTCGCATACGAGCCAGTTTCCTCCGGTGTTTCGCGACGGTACGGCCAGACCATTGTACAGGGTGGTCGACAAATGCGGATCGCATCGGCCGCGAGACCGTTCGACCAGATTCGCGCCACCGAAATCCCGAAAAGAACGCATTCTTCGATCGATTGTTTTATTTGCATTCGCCGCGTGTTTGCACGGTGTAAGCTGTTGTCGCCGATGGGCCACGATAACGTAATCCTAAAATACAGCGCTCCGATTCTATCGGCGATGGGAAGCTTTATATATGGGAAGCTATAGTAGGACATACTATACTTTTTCTCGCGTACAAGAACAACCTACAAGTATATTTACCTACTTGAGTTACGCGATCCACGCAACGCGACTTCTCGCCGATTAGAATTGCTTCTCCTTCGACGGTTTCTTCGAAAACACCTGTAATCCCATCCGAATCGACTTCTCGCTGCAACGGCATGACTTTGTATCCTGTAACGATATCATCGTGGCAATCCTCTATCGTAACGTTTTCGATCACTTGTGAATATTTAAATATCGAAACGTTTAAATATTTAAATTTCTATTCAACGTCCATTTAATTGGCAACCGATTAATCGGCTCGCGGCGTAATCTACCGCGAAATACCCTAACCAGCGGGCACACGATTGATGTCGAGCCTGCGTCGCGTTAGATGGCGCTGCGAATCCGTTTAAACGTAATGCGTCATTTGAAAAAAATGCGAAATCTTGTTTAAAGACGGTATCCGAGAGACTTTAGTAAATAATAACACGCGGTAGAGATACAATCCGAAGTTTATCCAAGCCCGACTTCTGCGTACCTGTTTGTTACGTTACGTGATTGTATGTCACGCAAAGTTGTTCGATCCTTGTCTTAGGGCGTACGCTAATTGTAAGAAATAAACTTTAAGAAACCAAAGCTTTTACCAACGATTCATTTTAACGCCGATACCTGCACCGATGTCGTTCGACAACGACCGCTACTTTACGTCGCTTTAGCCTATCGACAAGGAAGAACCTGCCAATTCGTTCGATTGTTCGTATTTGCCCTGATCTTTCGGTTGGTAAGCATTTCGTTTCGTGTCCCTTATCCGATAAGGGATTATTGAATTTCATCGAATAATAATTATTATATTCATATAAACTTTGCACTTACATTTGTTAGAATCTTGATCGTATTATTCTTGTCTTTTGCCTCACTATTTCATTAGTACATTTCATACGAACCTAAAGTCAGCCGGTTAACCGATCAATCGATACTTGAGATGATAAAACTATCGCTTCCGGATACCATCGTGCCACCTAGCGCGAAAAGCATGGTACTATTCGCTAATAGTGCATCTTACTTATCTCAAGTTAGTGCTAGTGCTTGGACGTGTCGCGTCGTAAAAAATAACAGTTCCGGCGATGTCAAAGTTAAGAGAAACCTCGAATAAATAAAATCGTTAATGCGTAATGTGGATTCAAGTAAATCCCCATACGATTGTTGCGTGAGAGTGGCGCAGGTAATTGTTCGGACCGCCGACTATATTCGCATGTTTACAGTAGTAAACGGTCTTACGCGGAGATCCCTAACCTCTCGACATTTTTTTCAAAATAATTCAAATAAAGTACGGTTTCCGTTGTTGTGCCATGCAAAATGAGTAAGTAACGACAGTTTCCACGTATTCTCTATAGCTGTATGACGCCGGTGTGATTAATAATTGTTCGCAAGGCAGAATCACGACGAAGCAACGAGTCGAATTCTGTCCAAGAGAAATTTTTGACGCAACCGCGTATCAAGAAAAGAAAGGGCAAGGTTACAAGCTTGTCGCAGCCTGTTCCAAGTACTAGTTCCAACAATGATTCGACGCATGCCGCGTACGGAATATTCTCCGACGAAGAACCGTGCAGTCAAAGTTTTCGAGGATCCACTTTGCACCGCATACTATCGGAGGAAGAAGGTCAACTTGTTAATACTGTAGTAAGATATCTTTTCACGATGGACAGAAAAAAACAGATTATCAATAAAACACGAATAATCAAGAATGTGTTTGGAGGACAAGGGAAATATTTTCATCGTGTAATGAGTAAAGTTAAAGATGTCCTATCAAAGGTAACCAAAAGAATGTCCTAAAACAAAGGAACCAACCTTCGACTTTGTTTATTTTATAACTTTTCATACATGTAAAGATACGCGTCATAGGTATTTGGGTATAATTTAATGGAATTGGAAGGTAACAAGTACATGCTGGTAAACCAATTAGAGAATGATTTACCCCATATTAATTTTCTGGGGACAGAAGGCACCGGACAAGTATTATTATTCTTAGTGCTTACTCACATCTATATGAACGAAGAGTCCTGTACTCAAGGTAATTGACAAATCTATTTAGAAACAAGTATAAAGATCTGTGTTTCTATACATCGTATATCTCACTAATCATTTTAGAGTCTCTGTTAGAGTTTCTTACAAATTTGAGCATCCTTCCTGAAAACAATCAGAGCCACGTTAATTTTGGTAACGTCAAACACATTGTAACCGAGGTAAAAATAAAAGACCGACGCTATCGTATCTGGCGGATTGCGAATCCTCGCGTTGCTCAAAGATTTTTTGTTTCTTTAGGTATTCGTAGATCAAAAATATCTCGAAAAGATACAGTCTGAACAGAACGACGCGGTAAGAGTCGAGTATAAGTGGGGACCCCGCGCCGAATACGAATTTTCCCCGCGTGCAGCCTTGGAGTTTGCATCACAGGTAAGAACCTAGGTACTTTCTCACCTTCTCGCGGTACTTTGATGTAATATATGTGCGTAACATTCGAGTACCGTTTATTGGTAGGTCTACAATGGACGTTCGTTGGATAGTTGGCCGTTACAGTTTAAAGCACTGACAGCATGGGAAAATCGTCTGGATTAGGCTCTGTGTATCGAGGCTCTACAACAACAAGGACAACAAGAATAGCGATGACGATGGCGATGACGATGCCAATAGATATCGCCGAGGCGCAAAACACGAAGGAAATCGAGAACGTTGTACAGTTTATTTTTCGTCGGTTGGAAGTGTCGACCAAGTAATTTAGAAAACAATATTTTCCTAACTAAGAAATAAATTTTGTCCGTTCTTTTTTCTTCTAAATAACCCCGAGAGCAGCCGTAAAACTGCGAGGCTAGATTAAAGTTTGTACACGGTCTTCGAGTTCAACCACAGGGTCAGAGGAACCTGAAACGTGTTCCGTTGACCTACTTTCAAACGAATCTAATTGGATTCGTATTTTCTTCCGATGTTACGTCGTGCGATGTTTATAAAACGAATTTAAAGGGACGAGGGAGCGATGAAACGGATAACGGAAATTCCGCGGAAACGGCGATAATTCGATTGGAAATCGTTCGTGACGCGTCGGTTTACCCAGGTTTTTGTCGGTAAACGACGAATACACGTAGAAAGTCGACGCGCGCGGACGACCGAATTCGTGGTCGCATTTTTGCATTCGACTCTTGAAATATTTCCAAAGATAGGTGGGAGCATTGTTCGAAGACTGCGCGGTGCTGTCGCTCGAGAAGGGTGGTTGGAGCGTTCGAGGCTCGGGTCACAGTACGGATGAATCCGTAAAAAACCATGGAGACGTTAAACTAGGGGTACGAGACGAGACGCGACGCGACGGTAAGAGTTGCGTAGTAAAACGGTGGATCGAGATTGCGCACAGGAACACGCGACGAGAGACCGACTATATATCGGCCGTTGAGCCAGCAATGCGGGAATGTGTGTCAGGCCGGGCTGGCTTGGAGCTTGAGTCGGCGGTGGTGGTCAGTGTTCGACGGTGTTCCAGTCAGGTTTCGCGGATAGGTGGTAGCGCGCGCGGTTCGTAGTGTCGCAGTACCGCGCGCACCTCTACCCTTCCCCGATTACTTTTTTTTCCTATTCGTTCCAGTTCGTTTTCGCGCGGCCTATCGCATCGGCTTGGTACGATACACCTGACATATTCCGGCAGTTTTTTGCCGACACACAGGGGACCACTATAAACCATCGTTGCCAGGCTAATTTCACTGTCGTTCGGCTCGAGGAGAAATCCAAGAAAGTGGAACAACGGGACCAATCGAACGAACGATCGACGAAAACCAGACGGAAGAAGAGGCCAGGCGATAAAAGCTCGACGTTCCCTCGGATCATTGCTCTCTCGAGACTTCGGTTCCGACGAAAGGTGCGACGAAGGATACCATGAGCTCGATAGACCCGTGCCAAGTTCGCAGGAAAACACGCGGAGAAAGAAGAAAAAAGAGATAGGGGGGAGGGGGGCACGGTGAAGTTTCTCTCCTGGAGAGAAGACCGCAGTCGTCGAACCGTGAACGTCGTTCGCCTGCTCTTCGAACCGTCCAATTGCGAATTATTGGCAACGACTCGACGAAGAAAACTCGCGGACGAATTGCCGTCTGGTAGTAGTCGATCATGTTCAATCTGTATCAGAATTTGAACAAAAGAGACGAGGATCACAAAGAACCGGACGTTACCGGGCATGACAGGTTTTGGCAGGAGCGGCCGAGAACGCGGCGGAAACGTCGCGCCGTCAACCGAAGAACCCAGAGTGCCATCGAACTCGATTCCGAGGCCATAGTATCGGCGCGTGGCACGCTCCGCCGTGGAAGAAGCGCGAGCATCGAAGATGAGGAGAGCGACGAAGAGAAGGGCTATCAGCTGACGAATAAGATCGACAATCTAGCGAAAATATTGTTTAGTCGCGTGTCCGCCGCACGAGGTTGCAAAGAATCGGACGTAAGGTAATTCGGCCAATTTCTCTACTCGACCGTCGACAATGTCAACGATAATGCCAACGATAATAAAACAACGAGAATACGATTTTCCATCGCGATCGAAGATAGGGATGTTCCTTGCGCGTACCAACGATAACTCTGGACAGGAATGCCTCGGCTGTCAGTCACCGGCACATTCTTTTCTACCGTTCCTCGGAATCCCTCGATTACGCGACCTTTTCGCCCTTTCGAAATTCGAACCGCGTTCGTTTACAAACGATTCGGATTCGGATTCGGATTCGGGTTCGCGCAACGGCGAGCGGTGCCTTCGTACCGCGACGAACAAGCACGATCGAAACGAATCGCGATGGAATCGGGAAACGGAAACGACAACAACAACGACGCGTCTTCGAACTCGAAAGATCAGGATTCCGAGGACGTCGGTGCGAGAGTGAATTATTCGATGAACCGCGATGATCGATCGATGGCGACTCGTCACAGGAATTTCTCGCAGAATTCCCAGTTTCGAGGAAAACGAATACCCACGAGTTGGGAACGGCCGTTTGGGTGATTCATTTCTTACTGTTATTTTTATTCTTATTCTTATTCTTATTCTTATTCTTATTGGCATTCGCATTCGAGAATAGAAAAGTAATATTAAGCAAACGGAGGGATGGAGGAGTTTATCGGCAGAGAACTGATCTTATTGGATGAAACCCTTGGTTGCGCTCGTAGAAACGAATGGCTGGTCGCTGGCAACGCGAACGAGACCGATCCAGTTTGTAATCGTTGCTTCGAGAACCTAATCCATCAATGGCATAATTCGAGAAATCGTTCTCCCGATCGAAACGCCGCTGGTAAACGGTTCGATTTTTCGAATGATTCGGAGCCGGCCGACAGGTATTCTTTTAATTTCTATTCGTTTCCTTTCCGTTTGTTTTCCGTTTGGTTCTCGCGAGAAAGAACGATGATTCTACAACGGTCGAGCGAATAGACACGAAAGGGAGAATATAAGAAACGACTCGCGATAGGTTCGCGAGGATAGGATCGAATGTAGCGATCGGAGGAGAAGAGAGATTTGATCGATTTTGACGATTACGAATTTGACGCGTGTCCGAGACAGAAATGGAAGGCACAGCTACACGGCATTGGGCCACGGACCATCGGTTTGCGAGGATGTCGGCGAGTGCATGGAAATGGAGAAAAGATCTCGAGATCGTGCTTTATCAATTTGCCAGGCTTATATCCGAAGAACGCCGCGCTATAGTCTCGTCAAGCAGCTGAATAATCTCGGTAAGCTCTCGAGTTCCCTTCCCTCCGCCGCAGCTACCACCCTTTTCTCCTCGTATCGCCTGCCGAGGAAAATCCGACGAACTCTCGTCAATCTCTGACTCGCCCGTTTCTTTCTCGCGCGATGTTTCAGGCTCGAGAGTGGACAAACATTGGTTCGCGGTGAGGGACGTTTCCCTGAAGACCGATCGACTGATCACCTTGGCTCCGTTGAGCAGCAACTGCTCGCTGATCGTTTCTTCGCTGACAAAGAACATTTTAAGCGACTTGTTTTTGGCCTTACAACATCCGTACATATGCCCTATATTCGACATTGATTTTCTCGAATACGAACGCGAGAATTACGTGATCGTGGTTCAGCCGATCAGTCAAGGTAGCCTGAAAGACTTGATATACGGGGTGAGTATAGGTTGGAAGGGCGAGGCGAGACGAGACGAGACGAGCTGAGACGAGCTGAGACGAGATCTCGGTGTTCGGCAGATCGAAAGGACCGGCTGGAACGAGGATTGGAGCCAAAAGTACGCGGCTCGCGGCAAAGGACTTCCCTTGCCTCAGATTCAGCAAATGGGCCGCCAAGTGTTGGAAGCGTTGATATTTCTAAAGAAAAGGGAGTTCCCGATGGTGATGCATTTACATTCGGGCAACGTGCTCGTTCAGAACGGCGTTGCTCGACTCGCCGGCCTCGAGAACACGCTCCTCGGTTTCACCAGCCGTATACATCCAGTAATCGCTTCGCGAATCTCACAGACTACTCCCATCGACATCGTGTCCTTCGGTAAGGTCAAACTTGACGCCTCTTCCCTCGTACCGTAGATCAAATGTTTGACGTTACATTCAATCTCCTTCTAGGTCATATGCTATTTGAAATGTGCGCCGGTTACGAATTGCGATCGTTTAAACCGAATTCCATGCATCTCTCGGATCTTGAAATGTATCCACAAGTATAA